CCAGAATCATGTCTTAACTTGAACTACTCGATATGTCAGTGCCCACTGTGCAGGCTTCATTTCTTAATTTCTCTACAACTGGAGAAGATGGATAGGTGTCACTTTGTTTAAACAGTCAATGCTCCCTCTGAACAAAGATGGTATAGTAAATCTCTATTTCTTCCACCAGCCACAACAAGTTACATCTTGATTCTGGGATTCTGTTGATAATCTCCCTGGTTGGAGAAGTATCCCTATGATTGCACATTCTTTAAAACTGCATGGCAAAGATGAGAAGCTTTGTTCCCAGGCGGTGAAATGGCAGCAAAATCACCTATTTCCCTCTTAAGACACATTTTGTATGTTTATACGTGTATGTATATGTGACAATGTGCGTATGTATCTTTTACAAACTTATTGTCCCATTTTTTTAGCCCCTGAAGCGCAGAATCCATATTGAATTAATTTGCTCCATATGTCAAAAGTCTCTGGTGAAATCCCTCCTGTTGAGCAGAACCCCCTACAGGACATAATACTGGTACTAAATACAACCTGATGCTTTCCCCCTGCTTAATAATGAGATCATTCAATCATTGGCTGCAGAGACTGCGAGGGGCTCAGAGAAAGAAAGAGAGAGGGAGGGTGTGTGAAGTGGGTGTGTGTGGGCATTTTAATGTTTGTTTGTATCTACAAGCAAATATCAACTGTGAGTGCATACGTGTGTATTTACACTAGCATGCATCTTGTCAGGGACACGTACATGTGTGAGTAAATATACCAACATGTGCATTGACTTTGTGTAAGAGGCAGTGACACCTGGTGCTAATTTCTACCATTGCTTTTGTTTAACAGATGCTACTTTGTTTTTTTTGCTAATTGCACTCTGCACTGCTCAAAGTGTTTTCTCTTCACAGTACAAAGGCTGAGAGTTAATGAACAAGTAACGACATGCATTTTTCTTTTCAACTTCACCGTCATTTGTTTGATTTGACCAATTAACTGCTTAGACACTGTTCAGTATTAAAGGAGTATTTCATCATTTTGGAATGTAAGCGTGTTTGCTCTCTGAGGAAGAGTTAAATACGCTGATTTAGACCACTCTCAGGCTAAGCTCAGCAGGAAGAGTAGAAACAGGAGAAGACAAATAGGGCAGTTCCCCAAAAAAGCACACTAATTAACACGTTAGATCATGTTTGTTTCATTTATTCACAAACTGCTGGGAGTACTGGACGGGAGACCAGCAGAGCATGCAGGAAGTTAACATCCTCAGGCAAGAGATAGTGTGGTCCATTAAGCCCTGTTACTGTTGTTTAAGTCCTTTTTAAACACACTAACACATGCAAATGTAGCTTATAAGTGGGCTTTAATTGAGAAAATAGTTACTAGTTACTGTGTGAAACAGTTTTTACAAAGTGCTTTCCATAAAACAACCCAGCAAGGAATTAAAAAGAAAAATTTAAAAGATATCGCTTAGTACAGTAAAGTAAAACTAAAACAGCATCAACAGTCAGAATCAAATTCAAAACAGGTGGAAACTATAAATATTGCTTTGGGATGAAAGATAAAAAAATGAGAGTAAAGATACATGGCAGATTTTAGAAATGAAATGATAATGATATGTCAACAAAATGTGGATGCATTGGCTTTATATTTGCTGTACAGACTTCAAAGTGTTTACAATCATTATCTCTATGAATCTAAGAAAGAAAAGAAGCCGAAGGACTCCTGCCTTCCTCAAACTGGAGTGATTAGGGCATGATTAGTCGGAGACATGTAGATATGTGTTTGTGTTTGTGTTTGTTTTTGTGTTTTTTCTTAGCATTAGAGAAGGTAATCATGTCCTGTTCACGTCTGAATGGAACAAATTGAAGTGGATTTTAAAATGGGTACATTTACTCTGAAAATACCATTACTCATTCTGTGCTTTTACACCCTAAATTTAAGAAAATAATAATTAAATGATTGCTGTTTCTTAGCTGCTGAAGCACCAGATTGAAAGACTCACAGGTACAGAAACATTACCTGGCTATACGTACAGGATATGTATAGTCAGGTAATGTTACCCTCTGTGGATTTCCACAATATTTAGCAAAGTAGCATTTGAAAGGATAAACTGCCCTTTAACAGACAGACACCTCGGGCAGAACAGCCACCTGCTGCAACTGTGTTGGACTTGGAAAGTGGGATGGAGGGAGATGCAGGGAAAAGGAGATGGATAGAAACAAACAGAACAACAACAACAATAAAAATGAATATAACAGATTTATAGCTACAATGCCAGTAATAATGGTACTGTGTGGTATGTGTAGTATTAACAGTAACAAAGAATATTGATTATGACTAATGGCAGTTGAACTGTATCTTTCATCTCTGGGTCACAGCGCCATCGTGTGGCTGTGAACATTTGGTACAGTCTATGACCGTACTGTGGTCACATATAGACTACACATTTTCCTTGAATTAATCTGATCAATATATATCATCTTAAATCCGGACAGCTCTTTGAGAAGCTCACATGAAGTGAAGCTGATATCCATCTTATGGTTAGCTCTTCTGTACGTTGATACTGGAGATGGTGAGGGTCTCATGGCTCCATGAGGAATGTTGTTGTGTTTCGATGGATGTCAGCTGAAGTTTTTGTGTTTAAGTGCAAAGTTTAACAGAAGACAAAGGATTATTGAAAGCATTTAAAAAGTTGGAATTTATATAAATGCATAGCAAAAAATAGACAAATACGTTATTACAGATAATGAACAGACATAGTTTAAAAAACAATACTTGTTAGATACCTGTATGTCAAATAGCAAATCATTAAACACATATGGAAGAGCCTTTCATTCTACAAAGTGTACAGTATCAAATGTCATTAACAACCAAACTATCACACAACACAAAACAACAGTCAACATGGTTTGTTTTTTTGTTGGATACAGTCTGATTGAACAATGGATTTTAATAATTTTGAGGATTTATCATATTGATTTGGAATCCGTTGCCATGTCGTTTTTTTATATTTTTGTATGTAGTTCCAAACCAACCTTGTAGTGAAAGATATGGCCAGCATATGAACAAGATCAAATCATATGTCCCTCAGCCTGGGGCTGATCTGTCCACCAAGCTTCAGGAAATCTATTTGAAGTGTTTCCTGCTGACAGAATGAGAGACCAACATGGGAAAACACAACCTTCACAAAGGTGCTAATACCTAAATTGTGAATCAAATCAAGGCACTATTATGAGAGGCTGCCAACTCAGGACCAATAATGTAATATATGACATCAAAACACATCGAAATATCATAAAAGTACATAAATCACATTGATAGCCCTATTCTGTGTGCATGTGTGTGTGTGTGTGTGTGTGTGTGTGTGTGTGTGTGTGTATGTGTGTGTGTGTGTGTGTGTGAGAACATGTTTTGAACAAGAAATGCTAAAAACCTTTTCACTGTATGCTCGCTAAAGGAATAGTATACCGCGAGCTGACATTTGTTTTTGTTGTGTAATGTTTTAAATCTCATAATTCTCAGCCTACAGTCATGCTACTGTACAAAGACGCTGTACTGATCGTCACTCAGTACAGATGTCTGTCAGGTCTAAGAGGCATGCACAGTATATTACATCTGGCAGGTGTGGCTCGGCGGTACAGAAACATAAGCTGTTCATCCCGTCTTGCAATCCACATCATAGCGTCCTTTGGTAGGACACTGAACCCTAAATAATTCCAGTGGTATAGCCAGTGACTTGTGACTGTATGTGAATGGGTATGTTAATACTTTCCATAGCATGCTCTGCCAACTTCGAGTGGTATGAAGACTCTAAAAGGATCATTGAAGCACAGTTAATTTATAGAATTTACATTTTATCATTTAGTCTAGTTGGAAAAACAAATGTTGATCTAATTACTTTTAATATTTTTTATTCAGTCTAGATATATCAAAGGCATTTGAAGGTACTACAAAGACTCCGCAGCATGAAAAATGATCTACAACAATAGAGATCAATGATAGTTATAATTAGGCCCTATTTGATGACTTGGGACAGCTAGCTTAACCCTTGCCATAATGACTGAAGAAAGCTTTATTCCACCTCCATCTCTGATGAGTGGTTGTAATCTGCAGGCCAGTTTATGAGCTGCACATGGTTGCTGCCTCGTCGCAATCACCTGTCCAAACAGGCAGTGTGTCAGCTGCTACCAGGTACAAAAAAAAGGGATTTCAACAAACCATTATGTTAGCTGCAAGCTAAACTGTCCAACTGTGGCATGACAAAACCTGTTCCCTGAAAATATATTTTGCTAATAGATCCAAACCAGTCTCTTTATTGACACAACAGCCATTGTACTATGATGTCTAAGGGTGGTGACCTCAGACGCTACAACGACATATTGCTGTGTTCAAGGTTGAGTGCAGGTTGCAAGCATAGACTGTAAAAACAAGTTGCAAGTAGAATAAATATTATATATTACCAGAGTATCGTATAGCACTATCAAATGCTTGTGTTAGCTAGAATGATAGCTAGAATGCTAACGTAAGCAGTAGTATTACCCTGGCTAGCTGGTTATCCAATATTTAGTTTTACCCATAAATATGGCCAAGTGTCCTCCTGCATTTTGTACTAACCATTGTCCCATTAGTAGCTAAGAGGACAATGGTTAACCCATACATTTATACAACTTGCAACCTGAAATGCCACTGTACATTATTCTTCTGATAACAGCATTTAAGTGTCCCACTTCGTCACCACATGAATACCTTTAAATTAGCATGACTAGCCATAGCAAGAAAAGCACAGGAATAACTAATTATATTCTAAATATTCTGTTTGACTACACCTCATTGGAAACCAACTGTTTAAATGTTAGATTAACTGGTATTTGTCACGGGCTGCAACGCTTTAGAGACACAATGTAAGGCTGTAAGAAGCCCTGCCAAATAAAAGCCAAGCTATATTAAAAGAATCAAGTTTAATTTCCCTTCTTTTTGCCTCCAGTGATGATCTCTATCATTGCGGTCAGTGTTCACCCTTACAAAGTGGTTGTGGAGTGCTGTCCTGTGAGTGTGCGCCGACGGTGAGTCTGTGTGTGAGAGTGTGTGTGTATGAGGCTGTGTACAGCGTGTCTGTATCTGGCAGACATCAGGTTGTACAGCAGAGGATTGACAGCAGCACTGAGGTAGAAGAGGACAGAGGACACCAGGTTGAAGTACTGAGACAGATAGTATAGAAAATAGTGTGAGTCAGGTTGTGAGTAAGTATCGTTGAAAGGTGTGCCACTGTAAAGGTCTGTTGGGGTCAAAGTGTATATGCTTGTTCCTGAGGTGGGAGGTGTGTTCTTTTGTGAGTTTATACAAATTGGTGTCTTGTTTTGCTCATTAGAGAGTGTGTGAACGTCTGTAAAGCTGGGCCTGTAGGTGTGTGTACTGGTGCTCGTGTCTGTGAATACACGATGTGAATTTGATATCTGCGTAATAATATCTGCAATAGTGTGTGTGTCATTATGTGAGGAGGTGTTTGTGCGATTATGCATATTATTTTTTGTGTCAGTAAGTGAAAGGTCACTGGAGGGTGTAGTAGTGTGTGTACCTCTCTGTCTGCTGAGAGATGTAGTATGAGAAAATAAGTCTAGGTCAGTGCTCATATCCTCAGATTGTGTGCCTATGTTTGTTTGCATCTCAGTTGCTTCGTCTGCCATGTGCGTGTCTACATCGGTGTGTGAGCTGACATCACTGACTATGCAATCTGAAACAGCATTCATCTCCAAGTGTGCATTTGTGTCAGGGTATGCTTCCTGTCCATCAGTACTGCCGCCCTGAGAAAGAGAGAAAATAGTCCGACCCAAATGGAAGGGCAGCCAGCAGAGGACAAACGCCAACACAATCACACCTGAAGAGGGTTAGAGAGAGGGGGCAGGGTGGACAAAAAAGGGAACAGGGCATTAGAGTCATTTTTCAAGGCAAAGTAAGAAATATGTGATCTTGTAAATCTGTGGCGGCGAGTGTGTGTCTCACCCAACATTTTGACAGTGTGCCGATGACTCTGTTCTCTCCGGCTACTTTGTGGGCGGAGCCACAGCGTCCGTCCAATCAGGCTGTAGACCAGTCCCAGGATGCAGAACGGTACCAGGAAGTACAAGTTGGAGAGAATCATCATGGTTGACAACAGGCCGGAGGAGATGGCGTAGTCTGTTACGCGGCACTCTCTGTTGTCAGGAAGACCCCGACCTCCATCAACGCTTTCTTTCACTCCTCCTCCATCTTCCTTTTTCAACCTTTTATGATGGATTCCCTCAACTTCAACCCTTTGTTCTTTAATATTACCTCCCTCGTCCCTTGTTTTTCTTCCATCTCCTTGTTTGGTATTCTCTCTTCCTCCTGTCGCCAGTTGTCTTTCTTCTTTCTCCACCGTTATTATTTCCTCACCAATATTTTCTCCCCACTTTATTCCCTCTGATCCTCCATCACTGGAGACAATTTCTCCACGTCCTTGTTCCCTTTCACCTATCATGAATCCTCCTTCACTCCCTGTCCACCCTCTGTCCTCCCTCCATCCACCAAGCCCTGGCTCCTCTCCCACGACTTCCTCCACTCCAACCATAACCAACACCGGAGCTGCACTGACGGCAGCACCCAGCCACAGGCAGCCAATAAGAGCCCTGGTTCTACGGCGGGTCACCAGGGTCTTGGCTGTGATAGGCCAACAGACCGCCACGTACCTCTCAATGGAGAGGAAGGTGATGTGAAGGATTGTGCAGAAGGTGCAGCACTCTGACATGAACATAGTGAGTTTACACGCAAGGTCTCCAAATGGCCAGGGTCTGGGCCTCCAGAGCTGTTAGAGACACAGAAATATTTTGACATTAAAGACATCTTGATTTTCTTCTTATTTCACTTTATGACAATGTAGCTGCCACACTCAAGAGCTCAAAGGCTTTGTTTATAGGGCACACTCCAGTTTTCAACAGAGCTAAATACTTTGTTTGTACTACACTTATAGATTTGCCTTGTGTGTTATTTTGGTACAACTTTGATAAAGTTAAATCATATTTATATTTTTTAAGTTATGGTATTTGTAATATAAACGCACTAAATTGTGTTTAAGTGGAACAACTAAAAACATTTTAATTATTTGAAATATACTTTCACGTTTAAGTTTACTTGTTGATTTCATTTTTAGTGTGTTTCCTGCATAATTTCAATAGGATATTAGTTTGTTAGTTATATACAGTAGCTCCACTATACTTCAGTCACTGCAAAAAAAAGGCATTCCAATAAATATGGAAATATTAGAGAAGAGTTCTTTACAAAAATGAAAGCTAAAGTCTCACACGTTGGGTCACTAACTGAAAAAAATAAACACATGCTAGGAGAAAACAGGGAGCAGCAGAGATGCAATAAAATATGTCAGATCCTGTCACAGACAGGACAACCATCAGCACACATACCGTCTTTAGTCAGTATACTCAGTATACACAGTATAGCTCACACTCTGCTTCTTCTTTGTTATATTTCATCATTCAATGTGTATTTATGTATTGTTAGTAATTGTTTTTTTATTGATCATTATCTGAATATACACTAATTATTTTAAATGAAACAAAATACACAACAAATTAAACAAACACACAAAAACATATACACACAATGACAACATCAATTTGAACAAACATGAAAACTATAAATACATTTCAACATTTTGCTCATAAACACAAAAGAAAGAAATGAATGACACCTTTTATTTTTCTGCGGTTATTTGATTTTGTATTTAATCTATTATTATGATTGTATTTTTTCATTTTAATGTTATTATTTCTATTACATATAGCATTATTGATTACTGTTGTTATTTTTATGGGACGCTTTGGCATTACTGTTAGTGTAACACTGATGCCAATAAAGCTTGATGAATTGAATTGAAGTGCATTTTAAAATTGAATAGGGGTTTAATATTATTGTACTGTACACATTTTGGTGTAATAAAAAGCTATAGAGTAAAAACAAGCTTCTTTTTTTCCTTTTTTTGTTTCCAAACAGACCATGCCTGAGGGTAAATAACAGGTTGTTGTTATGCATAGTGTCTTTTTGTACTCTAGGTATGACAAGACACTTTAGTGCAATGGAAGAAAATGTATTTGGCAGCAGGGACTCCCCTGAGGGCAGGGAAACAGAGGGTCGAATAAACCAATATTGGAAGACAATTCCTGGAAGGACACCAGCACATCAAATGCTGCATCTTCATTTAATTATGTTAAATGACACCTTGAGCTAAAAACATCAACAGCTGGTCAGACCATAATGTATAAAGAAATGTCAAGCATATATTAAAAAAGGTACTGGACACCTTGTGCCTGTGTGTGTGTGTGTGTGTGTGTGTGTGTGTGTGTGTGTGTGTGTGTGTGTGTGTGTGTGTGTGTGTGTGTGTGTGTGTGTGTGTGTGTGTGTGTGTGTGTGTGTGGGTGTGTGTGTGTGGTGTGTGTGTGTGCCTGTGTGTGCGCATGTGTGTGTGTGTGTGTGTGTGTGTGTGTGTGTGTGTGTGTGTGCCTGTGTGTGTGAGTGTGTGTGCCTTGTGTGTGTGTGTGTGTGTGTGTGTGTGTGTGTGTGTGCGCGTGTGTGTGTGTGTGGGTGTGCCTGTGTGTGTGGGTGTGAGTGTGTGTGTGTGTGTGTGTGTGTGTGTGTGTGTGTACCTTATACAGATCCAGAGGCAGCAGGAGAAGTATAAACAGATCGCTGACGGCCATGCTGCTCAGGTAGAGGTAGGTCGAGCTTCTCATGTGAGGGCGGAGCCAAACCACCAGAATTGTTAGTATATTTCCCAGCAGGCCGAAGAGCATCAGCGGAATATAAATGACAGTCACACACACTGGAATATCAAATATTGATGTTTTTATCAGAAAGACTTTGTATTAAACGTGGAAGTGTACACATTGTTTGTCAAGAATAAAAAATTAAGAATGAGAAGTTTTCAGAACGTTTAAATTACTAAAGGCAGTATTGCATCATATTAGGCAGTTCAGTTTATTTTCTGAGATAATGGTAAAAAGATTGTTATCACCATGTAGGTAACTTATTTGAGCTATTGCCAACAGACAGACAGACAGATTTATATTGATGTACCCACCTAACTTAACCAGGCCAAACTCCGGTTCTTCCCACTGACACTCTTGGTTGGGGCAGTCCACCAGAGAGCCCGATGCAAGGCCACAATTGTCATCTTCACAGCCACTGCCCATGTCTGCCGACTCCATGAAATCCATAATGCCGCCTGGTGGGGTTGGACAGAAAAAGTGTCAGGGCAGAGGAGAGGTGTATGTTCCCCCGGTTACAGGATACACATGTGACGCAGGGCGATGGATTTCTTGTTACAGTCAATCACAGCTTACAATGAAGGGGGAGGTTTAGGGTGGAAAAGTGCTGTCTGATCAAAACAAAGGAGAAACAACACATACAAACACATTTAAAAATAATGAAACAAAGGCATGATCTATACTGTTTTTTTTTTCTCATATGAACAGATACACGTGGCGTTCAGATGCGTAGAAATCAACACTTACTATTTTCAAACCCCCCAAAACGCTAAGAAAAGACATATGGGCTCATCAAATCAACCAAGCTTCTCTTGTCTTTCAGGTCTTTTTGTCATCCTCACTGTAAACACCAATACCAATAATAATAATGCCAATCAGCTTTGTAGCCATCCAAAAATCATTTAGTATCCAAAACTAAACAAAAGTGATCCAAATTTAAAAAAAAAATACACTCATATATATCCTACTAACAAGAAAAACACACGTTAAATTACATAAGAAATATTAAACTTACTGATGGAGCTCCTTGTGTTTCTCCTGCTACAGTCACACACTTCTGCTTTGGCAGTGACTGACACATCTGTTAGATCTCTCCTCTCACTCTCTCTCCCCTCTTATCCCTCTCTCCCTCTGTCCCTTCTTTCATTGTCCACTCCAACCTGAAAACAAAAGCCATTCCACAGTGTGCTGTTTTACTGAATTAGATGTCCACAAATTGGCACACAAGCTCCTGTTACAATTTTTTTCCCCCTTCATCTTGCTACCTGATTTTCACATTTAAAGAATATAGAATATCTTGAATCTTGAGCTGCAGAAAGTGAGGAAGCGTTCAGATCTTTACTTAGGCTAATTGAAGTTGCCTATCAACATTTTTATGCAAAAGTAGTTTCTCAAGAAAAATACTGACAGCACAAAGAACTTAGACTTTCTGAAACACAAAAATTGTTAGCCATGAATGGAAGATTAAGATTATGATTTTGGTTTGCTGCACACATGTAACATCAAACCAGCTCCATATCAGCTAGCCTGTGAAATTAAAGGGAATAGTTGGACACTTTATTTTGTGCTGAATTGCTTTTGTTCCTACTAAATATGGTACACCACTTGGAGAACATCTCACATGTATTTTAAATGGAACTCTTACTTAATTTTAATTAATTAATTATAATTTTATACAAAGGTTTATCCTGTCCCATTACTTCTGTTTAATTACTATGCCTATAGCTCAAATTTTTTCCAACCAAAAATGACTTTCTATTTTCTTTCTATAGATATGTATTCAGTACCTACTCCCAGGCAGCAGGTGGCGGTGGCGCTTCTTTCAAGACTCCATCAAAGACAGCAAACAAACACAAAAAGCCAAGTAGAAGAAGATTGCTCCTGCTCACTGACCATTACGGAACTAATCTGCACAAGATGGCATTGAGAGCTGCATTGAGGAACAAGTGCGGTCTTTCAAGTATGTGTTCATGTGTGAGAGTAGCCACATTGTAAAGAGAAGATTTGATTGCATGCTTCTAAATATGAGTCTTTCTGACAGAGTTTCTTAAGTGTTATTTGGCTGCTAGCTGTGCGAGCCTCGGTGTTAGCTGTACAAACTGGGACAAAGGTCACAGGACACTTTAGGGTAGACATAAACCTTTAGACTTTATTTCACCATCTGCATCTACCTATGCATCCCCTGAAGTCCCTAAACCATCTTGTGCGCCTAAGTTTATATGTTGTGTTCACAAAATAATTAACTTGTAGAAGAGGTGCGTTTTTAGTTTCTATAAAGGCTCTATACATATGTTTTTTTTTTTTGTTTGTTTTTTAACTTTTGGGTCTTCAGGGCTCGGTTGAAAAATGAAAGCGGAAAAGATCATTTTGCATTACATATTTAATTGAAATAACACAAGTTAGTCAATAATATCTCACTAAACATTCAGTGGACTTTTTTTTGCTTCAGAAATATAAACTTTTAAGATTTATTTCATATCTTCATTTTTTTTTATTGAATCAATTCTAGCTTTGGTCTTAGAAAATGTAATGTTTTTTCACATTATGTTGACGAAATCACTCATCAATTAGTGATGATTAAAATACAAGGTTAGCTGATGTTGAAGTGTAACTTTAGTTAAGCCTTTTATAGTGTTGAGTTTAGTATTTGTAATGATGTTACACCATAACGTTTAGTCAACACAAACTAAAAATAAATACAGATACGGCTGGACATTTGAGCACCCCAGACTTGAGAGGATCTGTTGCACAAAGCAAGCCAACACTTGTGATCGAAATTATTTCAGGACAGGAAGTATATTTCTTTAGAGAGTCAGTTTAACAAAAATCTCTTAAAGGTCCAATATGTAAGATATCTACTGAATTAAATAATAAAATTATCTTACTATATCATCAGATATTAAGGAAACATGCTATGAGAAGTGCTGGCTTCTCTGACAACAATGCAGCAGCCAGTATGGGCGCCTTAGTTTCGATTTCTGTGTGACCAGAGAAGCAGGCGGCACCCCCACACAAACCTACAGGTGTTGGGAGCGGGCAAGCAAATTGATTCTGCATTTTTCTAATAAGCCACACGACCAAAAGCGTGGTAAAACTAGGATAAATATTTGAGATGCTTGTGAAAAATGGAGAGAGGTGAGAATGCAGTTTCAAGACCTATGCAGAGCTGGCTAAACACTGAAGCTGCTATTCTGTACTTTATGCAGAAAACATGTGTGAGATAAATATATAGATTTTGTTTTACAGAGTTTTTTGTTTTGTTTTGTGTTTTAAGTGTCTTCATCAACACTAACTCTTTGTGTGTTTAGGTCTTCTGTCTCAGCTCTCCTCCTGCAGCAGTCATGGCGGAGTGCGTGTGTCTCCAGCCTTCATCGCTCAGCAAAGGAACAACTCCTCCTCGTCTGCGGTCAAAGTAGATTTTGACCAAAGCACAGGTAAAGATGTAATCATCATCTCCATCCCTTCCCTCTTTCTCTTTTTATTTTTTGTTCATTGGAAGCGCTCATTCACAGATGACACCCAAAATATACTAAGTTTAATATCCAGACTATCCAGGTAATAAAAGGAGCATGTCCCTTTTCTCTGTAGGCGTGGCAGTGCTGCACATGCAGAGTCCACCTGTCAACAGCCTCAGTTTAGATTTCCTCACTGAGTTCTGCATCAACGTGGAGAAGCTAGAGATGGATAAGAGCTGCCGAGGCCTCATCATCACCTCGGTGCAGTAAAATCTTTTCCTTTAGATAAGAGCAGAGTCTTTCTGTAGCAGGTATTAGATCTGTCTCTTGAATTTGTAGGAAATAGTAGTCAAAGTGCTTTAATTCTTGTTAGTTAATTGTGGACATTTCTTGGCTTTGGTGTTTGAATATTCACCCAGAGTATTTGTGCTTATTGTTTTGATTTAGAGCCAGCCAAAGGTGTTCTCAGCTGGTCTGGACATCATGGAGATGTACGGGAAAAGTCCGGAGCGCTGTGGAGTGTTCTGGAAAGCTGTTCAGGAAATGTGGCTGAAAATGTACAGCTCCAACATGGTCACTATTGCTGCAATTAATGTACGTGTAAAACCACGCGAGTGTTACCCTCCACACTCTCAAATCCATGCTCACTGGAGGGGAAGCTTCTGCACAATAATATGCAGCCAATTGTTGAAGATGCTAACAAATTAACTTTGGCTAATAAAAAACACAATATTAACAAGTAAAATTAAGACTTGGACATTTAGTCCATTTTGGTCACATGTTTTGGTGACGTGATCACACTGAATGGCTGGTAAAACTCCAAAGATCAAAACTGGCTATGTATAGCTTAGCTTCAAGCTCTACAGATGTCCAAATGAATCAATTCTTCCTGCTGATGCCTCGAGTCAAATTTCTTTTATCCACTTAAAGGCTCAGATTTTCTGTTTTGTTGTTCAGGAAAACATAGCTCTGGCTTTGTACCGTGTTGGTAATTTTTACCATCAGCTTTTCTGCAATTTCCTGTTGATGTCATGAAGTCAAAACTAACGTCAAGGTACCTTCATGTAATACAAAGTTAATGGAGACAGATCATTTTCCCCTCCAGTGTGATTAGGACTTAATTGCATTCTGTCTCTACTATGTTCCTTGAAGATCGTGTATCACACCAGAGGTGATGAGTTTTTACATTCACCCTTGTCTTTTGCCACTCCGCTCGCAGGGTTCCAGTCCTGCTGGTGGCTGTCTGATGTCTCTGACGTGTGACTATAGGATAATGGCAGACAACCCTCGTTTCAGCATCGGCCTCAATGAAACGCAGCTCGGTATCGTTGCACCTTTTTGGTAAGGACTTCTCTGGATGACAGTATAGCTGTGGAAGTGGTGGGAATGTTGATGATTATGATTATGATAGTATTAGCTGTACAAAAGATCAAAGAACTCTCTTGATCTTTTACACTTGTTACAATAAACAAATACAACCGTTTGCAGGTTTAAGGACACCCTCGTCAACACAGTGGGCCACCGACATGCGGAGATGGCCCTGGAGTTGGGGTTGCTCTACAACCCGTCAGAGGCCCTGAAGATCGGCATGGTGGACCAGCTGGTCCCAGAAGACCAGGTCCTCACCACAGCAGCACAGACCATGAAGAAGTGGTTGGCTATTCCAGGTACACTCTAATATCTTTAGCACCTACAAGATAGAGGGTTCGGGGTTTTAGAATACCATAGCATAATCACATGATAATCTTTTTTGTTATGGCAAACGTCTTTATTTCCAATCTGAAGTCATGTTTATAAATCTGTGTGTTTTCTTCCACACACAATAATATATGGATCTTTCATCTTTTTTTATATACAATGATTCATCACAGCATGCCAGGAAAGAACACCCTATGTTTAAAACTATAAAGCTAAATTAAAACAACTGATAAGCATTCTTAAAGTAAAAACAATCTATGAAACTGAAAGCAACACAATTTAAAAGCATTCTCTAGTGGTAGTTGTTTGTTAGGAGGTTTTAACCCTACAGTAGTGATGTAGAAAGGGCATTTCTCAAGCTGGACCTCCTTACTCATACTCAGCCACGGAGTTAATTCTGTCCGAAGTCACACTCACAGCTGAATGAAGCAGCCTTTCTTAAGGTGTAGTGATTATTCACTGCAAGAAGCTGTGGGACAATTCCTCACACTATGGCAGAAACTGGAACATTATGTAAACATGGTTTCATGTCAAACAAATAATAAAGGGCTGTATAAATAACTGTAATGAAGGACTTAAGTCACTCATAGTCATAGTTGTTATGTCATATTTAGTAAAAGCAGTTTACATTTGAGAGAACTTAAATTTACAGCCAGTGTGGACCCTGACAACACAACAACACAGAGTTGCACATGGTCATTTAATAATCATCACTGCACATTCGCTGTTGAAGGGTTAAACAACCCACTTCCTTTTTTTATGACGCTGTTGCTGAATCACAGTTTAAAAAAGGCTTTAGTCAACAATCAGTTGTAAGACCAATTGAGATCCATCAAATCGACTCTACAGAATCACTGAGCAACATTTTGTATCTCTTCAATTTACAGATCATGCCAGACAGATCACCAAGTCCATGATGAGGAAGCCAACCGTCGAAAAACTCAGGTCCGAAAGAGAGGCGGACATCAACAATTTTGTTAGCTTCATCACTAAGGACTCCATTCAGAAGTCTCTCCGCATGTATATTGAGATGCTTAAAAAGAGAAAGGGCTAAAAAAAGAGAGGAACACGTTAAACAACAAACATACACACACAGTGTTTCGACACTATTTGCCTTCTGTTTAATGTCTTCATCGGTGCTATGGTCCTTAAATAAAGCTCTCTACAACTCTCTTTCACATCATTGTTCTACCAGCAAAAAAAATCACATGTTCAATAAAGAGTTTGATCCCCTCTTACCAGGCAGAGACCAAATTAGCAGGGCATTAATATACTCAGAAATATTTTGCCAATGATTCACTCACAAATAAAGTTTTTTTGTACAAATGGTTGAGGAATAAGAATGACCTTCCGCTAAGCCCCACCCTAAACGTTGGCTACATCTGTAGCATGGTTCATATGCAGTGGCACTTAAAGTTTGCAGTAATATTTGAACTAATATAAATGTTGTCAAATAAGTTAATAAATGTGTGCTTCTGACAAAGAAACGTGGATTTTGTGTGTTTATATGTCAGCTGTTGCTAGAATTCGATATTGGCCTTACCTAGCTAATGTAAGCTAATGCTAACCTGAAAACTGTTGGTTAAAACCTTTCTCCCCAACAATAACATAAATTTAACATAAAAGTTATGTTCAAAGTGTGTATCTAGTTAGCCTCTGTGTTTCCTACATGGTATTCTGTATTAAAAGCACCAACACAGAATACTCAGGGTTTGGTAAATGTGGGACAGAACTATTATTTTGCTAGCTTACACAAGCTAGCTAATAGGTTTGTACATCTTTTGCATACTGTAGGTATATTACAATGTATCCTAAAACACCACCACATGCTCTTTGCCTTTAAAAGCAATACTACGGTTATGTTAGCCAAAAATATGTGTTTGCTAAAATTTTAAGTTTATGTTTGAGCAAATGAACACTTAAAACCCTGTGATAGACCTGTGTGTGTTTCATAGCTATAGTTATAAACCCTGTGTCACCTTTTCTATAGTCCAAATCTGTCTTGGTTATTAGCCTATATTTTCATCCCACTGCTTTCACATATTGAGAGCTTTACAGACCTTCTTGAGGTTGTTGCAGTTGGACAGTGACTGTTCAGTGAAGTACTTTAATGACCTCAAGAGTTTGCAATGATCCTATTGACCAGACCTTTGTTGTGTATTTTTCCATAACATTTGATCTCAAGTCAAAGTCTTTTGTCTTTGTGTATTTTATTGCATATAGTAGAAAGTTATTTTGCAAAAGGGGTAATCAGCTACAAAAGTAACATCAGTCACAAGTGCATCAAAGATTCCCGGGGCAGTCCAGGTTGCAGAGCATATTTATACTTTCACAGGGTGTAGGTATTTTGCATATACATGAGTGATACATCGTCATTGGTTTCAGCTTGCCCTGGTGACTACGCCTTCTGCTAGTTTGCCTGGTGATTTATCTATGCAAGCTTCTTTCTATAAGGCACCTGGTACGGAGGAACACCAACAGAAACTCCTTTGTCAGGAGGGCACTGATTTAGGGTCATGCTGTACCCAGATCCTAAGGAGTGTTCCTGTTGGAGATACAGACCAAGGCCATGCAGAGAAACAGTTTCTAATTGTTAAATGACGCACGAACATCCTAATCTTTTAAGGTCAAACGAAGACAACAGACAGATAGTATTTTTCCACTACACCTTTGTTACCTGTAACAATATATCATCAGTCATTTTTATTTTTGAAATGTCTACTTGGTAGAAGGATTTATTGGTGTAGTTATGTTTAAAACATTTATCTAACACGATAGGAAGATAGTCTTTGTATATGTGCCAAGATTTGTTTGCAACCTAATACACAAGAGGTGAATCAACTTCAGATATGGAAGAAGGAAGTTTCAATTAAATATTTTGTCTTTTTTTTATTTTGGTCTTGTTCATTGCTGCACAGTTTGCAAGCGTTAATCCACAGAATACTCGAGATTCAGATTCAGTCAGGAGGCTTGTGGAAGGGTTGTTGGATTCAGGACTCAGGCTAAAGGAGCCAGCTTCACTTCCACGGGGAAATGGTCACTGACAGCATATGCCTGAAAGACATAGAGGAGGCATTGTAGGAAAGTTGACATGCAGAATATTGCTTCAATTATCTTAAACAGCAGTTTTGAATGAAATGTAAATTGAACAGGCCATCAAAATACCTTTTCATCTGCTTCAGTAAAGGACTTTACCTTGCTGTGATTTTTGATGGTTTTTTTTGTGTGTTTCTTAATCGTAAAGCTATAGGACAGTGGATAGAGTTGGAAATTAGGGTCAGAGAGAGTGGGGAATGATATGCAAAAGGAGCCACAGGTCGAATTCAAACCCAGGTATCACAGCACTGATCATGTTTGAATATTATCCTACTTTAATTGAATAGTAACCTTTTCCTTAGCCCAATTGCTCAAAAGATAGCATAAATGCAACAGAAATGTTCAGGTAAATCAACATTTTAAATAATATAGGAACAAACACACCTCTGAGAGAAACTGTTTCACCTTGAACCACCCGTGTCTGCACTGATACCACCCACAATACACTTCTTCTCTTCTGCGCTGTGAAATCAAAGCGCTAGAGTTAAGGAAAAATAGGACCCTCAGCTTGCTCTTTTAGACTCTTTTTATAGTTTGCAGCTAAATTGACTTGTTTCACAGATGCATTCAGGCTTAATGTTAAGAAGAGACTTTAAATTAACAGCATGATGACCGTAATGGGCATCCGGTCAGAATTCAGATGTCTAGCCAGTAAACTTCACTTGTGTTTAACAAAGGTATATTTCTTTAATTCAAGTCAATAAGGTCAATAAAAGGGGTAGAAAAATCACACAAGGGATGTTTGATACATCACTGCTGAACTGCTGTGAAACCAACAACCAATCAAGGGAAAGGAAAGTACATAAGAAACCAGGAAGTAAACTGAAGAAAGTGAGGTAAGGTGAAATAGGGAAGTGAAAGGTAACAAAATAGTGACCTTTACTACACTGAAATTGTTTTTTACCAAACTGTGATCGAGATTCAAGTCAACCATGAAGTCGTAGACATCTGCACTGCCGTGCACCACTCCCTTCATCATGTCAGCAGTGACCACAATCCTACAAATTCAGAAAGAGGGGTAGCATTAATAGTCCATGTGAACATGTGCATTCAAGTGTCTGCATGCATGTGAGTAAACTGACTTGTTAAAATGGACTTCAACTTGCTCTTTTCCACTCTTCTGACGACTCAAAGCACTTTAACACATTCACCCACAGTAATGGCAGAGGCTGCTATATGAAGTGTCCATCAGTATTAACTAATCCCCTTCATACACATTCACACTGAGGCAGCAGCGGGAGCAATTTGGGGTTCAGTGATTTGCCCGCATGGGACTGGCTGAGTGTCTGCATACCTGTCATAAGGTCTGGTACCTGTCATAAGGGCAGTTAGTGTGTGACACTGTAGTATCAGCCTCATCAGATATCAACCAGTGGAAACTCTTGTCAGTGAAGAGGCGGATCTGCTGCCAGTCGGAGCCTGACACATAATTGCAGCCTGTGTTGAAGTCACCCAGCAGCACGATGTCCTGCAGAAAGAGAAGACAGGTTACCCCTCTCATCCATGTAACTTAACGGACTTTCTCTTTGAATCGCTCCTTATTCATTTGCTCTCACTAAATAATCAAATTGTGCTAGGTTGTCTTTGTAAAGCTGTTGAAGAGTATTCACATTGGTGTTCCAGCGGGTGCGGACATCAGACACGACATCATACAGAGCATCAGTCTCCTCCAAAGCGAAATCTGGAGAGGTGTGCTGGGGGACCAGAACAAAGTTCCTCACAGCTAGAAGACACACGATAGAAAAGATGCATTAGGAGAACAAGCTGAACCCCAGTATTTTTTAAATGGCAAACCCAATTGGTAGAAATGAAGCCTCTTTGGTGCTAGTATGTGGCTGAAGCAAGTTATGGAGTTTTAATGCACAAATGACAACTAAGATTCACAGTTTATGAAAACGTGCACAAAGATTGCAAAGCAGAAGACAATGATTATGAATAAGTGAGCAAAGAATATAAACTGTGCACAGGGAGAAACACTGATGGGTTTAAAGTGCAACTTGGCAGGATACCATTGCATACAATTGCAAGGCAATGATTCATTGTTGACCAGCAGACCTTATAATCTCGTCCAATAATCATCATATAAACAAGACATTCTACATCACTGTTGGTTGATGGTGAAAAGGCACAATCAACCTCTGCTGTGGTGGCAAAAATCCAGAACCTACTAGTCGCGTTGGAGGAAAACATGACGACGAAAGGTTCTCTGATGAAGGTGTCCGTCCCACAAGGCTCGCAGCCGTCATCAAAGGTGTAGTTTTTAACCACGGACACCATCTGCTCTCTGGACAGGAAAGACAAAAAAAAACATTTTAGATCTTTGTTAGATTAAACTATATCAGCCATGTACATTCTAATGGCAACTAGAGGGCAGATGTGCTGATCCGACAATTCTTCAATTCTACAATTCACTTAGCAGAAACTTTTTTTCAAAGTGAAGAACATCAGAGAGTAAGAACAATACAAGAAAGGATCTAGAAAAGAGGAAACAATGTCAGTAATTGCAAACGATCAGCTTTGAGTCCGATTGGACACACAGGTGCTGACAGGCGTTGCACACAGAGGCAGAGCACAACATTGATGGCTGTTCTTGAGAGCTCTAGTCAGTATAGAAACCATCTTAAAAGTCGTCGTTATCAAACAACACCATCATCATCATCATCATTACCATCGTCATCATCATCATTATCATCATCAATAATATAAAAACCGTCGTCATCATCATCAAGGTAGTAGGTATTCATGAAAGAGCTGGGTCTCTGCAGATCGAATGGAGTTTGGAAGTTCGTTCCAACACCAGGGGGCAACAGAGGAGATCCTGAAATATGCTAGCAAGTGAAAGTGGTGCATGTGTGCAGGCAAATATTTTACACACTGTATTTACCATGAAATATATTCCAGAAAAGATTTAGTAATACTGGTACAGGGTACGGCAAATAAAGCTCAACCAACATGTTTTATATGGTCCAACATTTTTTGCAACATCGGTTAAATGAATTTAACAAACATGGTTGAAGTTTATGAACTGCAAATTTGCAAACTTTTGAATTTGTTACTCAAACATTTTGCATAACTTAAAAAAAACTGGCGGTTAATAATGCTGATTAATTGTTTGATTTATTTTCATACAAAAAATAAGGCACCAGTTATTGTAAATTTCAGTGCCATGCTCTAATTCACTGCCCAACATCACACGAAGAAACCACTGATACTTTAAGGAAGACATGCAAATTAAATTACAATCATGCATCTAGAATCACAATAAGATTGTTTATCAAATCACTCTGGTCTATGCCCTTCTGTTTACCTGTAGAGGAAGAGATATCTCTCCTTATAGGTGCTGCGGCCCAGAGGCTCACTCACGATGTGACTGTACCTGAACTGAGGAGAA